ATTTAGTAACTTTGGAAAATAACTTTTACATTATAATTGCTATAGCATAATGTCATTTTTTTGAAGTTGTCATAAATTAAGGAAAATCTCCTATCCCTTATCCTCCACACTCTTAGAGGGCCTTTGTCACAGTTGCTTGAGAAAGTCTGTCAGTATTTGCACTAACAGCACAAGAGAGGAGAAGCACAAACCTTCATGGCCCTTCGCAGCTCCTGCACGTCGTACAGCACAGTGGGCATCATCATCCCCACAATCACACGCTCGAAGTTGCCACTCAGTTCCGACTTCAAGTCATCTATCAGGTCCTGCAATACAACAAAGCAGCTTGCTTAATGTTACAGTAACTTAAACTAGCCATTCTCACAGTGTGGTCCTTGGTGTTTCCAAGACCCTTTCTGGGGAACTTCAAGGTCAAAATTATCTTCCTAATAACACCAAGACACGACTTTTTCACTGTCATTCTCTCACATTGTACAGTGGAGTTTTCCAAAGGCTACTTGCTATATCTACGTATCTACAATAATATTTAATGGCTATTAATATGCTCCTCCCTTTTCCAACTACCTATCTGTATAAAACCAGGTTTTCTTCATATACTTCAACCAAAATCACCTATTACAAACTGAATGCAGAGGCAGATAGGAGAATCCAGCTGTCATCCATTAAGCCAGATGTTAAAAAGAGTTGGAAAATGTAAAACGATAAAAACTTTCTTACTAAAAATTTTTTATTTTGGAATATGTGGCTATTTTTCATAAAAATGTTATATTAACATGTGATGGATTTTCGTTTTCTTAATGTTAACAAATACATATTTTAAAATGTTCTCAATTTTAATTTCTAATATAGTAAACAGCAATATAAGCCACAAAAACAAAAAGTCCTCGATGATTTAAGAGTGTAAAGGGGTCCTGAGATCAAAAAGTTTGCAGACACTAACTTAAATGTATTTGCTTCCTTAACAATATCACCTGAATATACTTCCAAGTCAATATTGATCTATGACATTTTTAAGAGCTGCAGAAATTTCTATATCTAGATGCAAAATAATTGCTTTACCCACCCCTATTTCTATCTTTCTACTGTTACATACTTAGGCATTTAGTTGTATCTTTGAAATCATTCACAATTATTTCTTAAGGCTCAATTTCTAAAAAGAAATGTAATTATTTAGACAAAGGACCAAATTCTAAAGTCTTTTATTCACATTTCCTGCTAGAACAGGTTAGAGAGTTTAAGAACCTGCTTAAGAGCAACCAACCAATATGGAGCTGAGCTGCTATTCAAGTCCAGATCTCTGATCCTTACTAACCTGATTCCATAACATGGTATTTCAATCTGTTGTGCATAGTTTTATGTTACATCCACACATCGAATGAATGAACAAATAAATTAGTGCTTAATCCATTAATGTTGGTTATCTTAAAAAACTGCCATTAGATTAGCTTAGTTCTAAAGTGAAATAATCAACACCGAATGTGTGTGGCAACAACTTTTAGGACTCTAGTTCATAAATCACAAGCACATTCGTGCCTATTTGTGCTCATTATATTTGGGCAGGGGTGGGGGAGGAGTGATGAAGACAGGTTTAAAATGCCCAGAAGATAGTCCGAGCTACTAATAATCCCATTCTCTACTGGGGTGCCCAGCCAAGGTTCACCAAGCAGGTGCTCTGGCGAGCAGCTGAGCTAGCCTTGTCCACCCAGCAGTTTAATGTCAGTCTTTGGGAAGCAGCCACAGTCTGACTGGCTACAGATATCTTAATGAGAGAAATACTTATCAGAGTTCCTGTACTCTGAAACTGGAGACACTCATTGATGTTTCCTCAATAAAAAGATTCTTGCCAATCACACAGATAACTTTTCAGTGATGTTGAAAGATTGGGCGTAATAACGCTGGTGAGTCACTGAAATGGAGACAGAGAAAGGGTTCCTGAGGGGTGTGGGATTCAAACTGGAAGAGGAAAACACGGTGAGTGTACAAACTCTGAATGCATAAGCTAATAAATTACACACACGTACACAGACAGATAAGTCCCATTCTAGAATCTGATGGGGAATTGAGGATTATCAAAGGAATGAATATATGCAATGAATGGGTTTATATGAAAGAGTTGGAATAGACTTTAAATCCTAGAACAGCCTATTTAAAATAAACTGGATTTAAATATTTTAGTCAAGCTGGATTTAAGTATTTTAGACCAATTCATCCACAGTGGCCTAAAAGAAGCCTATTCAGGGTCAGGGAACCAACACAGGAAGCTCAGCCCTGCCTGGTGCTCAAAAGGGTGCTGGTTGAGTCTGTTCGACAACGCAGTCCCTGTGAGAACTTGGGTGGGAAGAGTTCAAGCTTGGCCTTGAGCTCTGTGAATCAAGAGCTCCTGAAATCACTCCTTGCTAAGGACAATTGAGGGAACATGGTGAAAGCTTTTTTCTTTTTTCCAAGAACATCTTTAAACAAGGAAAAGAATAAGTTTTTAAAAACACAGGGCCACTTCAGAAATCAAGTTCAGACAGACTGTGGCATACCCTGCCGATGGTGGTTTTGTAGGCTGTCCTGATCTCCTGGCGCTGGGCTGTGTTGCGGTAGGCGAGGACACTGATAATGGCGTCTTCATCGGTGCCTGGCAATGGAGTGGAGACAGTGAGTGAGTGTGATTTGAGAGAGGAAGGAGAAAATGGGCCTCTGCAGAAACTGGAGTCACCCAAACACATGCTGAGAGCTTTCCAAGAAAAGAGAGTTGTTCAGAGGGTTTGTCTATTTTTTGGGCAACAGACACTGGATCTGAGTCTTAGCCTATTCTTTAATTAGCTGTTTACCACTGAACAAAATAGTTAACTTCTCTGAGCATTAGTTTCCTTATCTATAAATGTGAGTTATCATGATCATAGGGCTGCCGCAAGTGTTAAAAAAAAGGAGAAAGTGAATTACTTAGCACAATGCCCAACACTTACTAGCCCATAAACGTTGACTGGGACCATGCTTTCCCCATCCTGTGCAGTTCTTATTGTGTTTTGGATCTCCTGTATCTATTCCCATGTTCTTGCCTTTTCTCTCATTTTTCATCTCAATCATTTTCTCTGAATTCTGAAACAATTCAAATCTGTCTTTTAATTCACTGATTCAGCGCTTTGCAGGGTCTAAATTGGCTGTTCACTGCATTCACTGAGTTTTAATATCTGTAATTGTGTTTTTCACTTCCAAGCCCTCTTTCCTTATCTCAGATGGTTCCTTTTTTATAACTGCCCATGAATTCCCAGGATGCAATATCCTACCCAAACTTTACGAGATGAATTACAAATTAGAAATGTCCTAAGTTCTGTTTGCCTGTTTCTTGCAGCAGCTTTTACTGGGTGGGGGGCAGAGAGGGTGCTGGTGGCTTTATTCTTATTTTCCAAATTGGTCCCTCGTCTTAGTAACGGCTAGCTATTCATGTATGTTTGGTGAGTTTTCTGTTTCTTCATTGTTTACAGTGTGCGGGGAGTTGTGATGGGTTACAGAATAGATTCTACTGAAATATTTTAGGAAGAAATGGAAAAATATCTTCGCTGGAGTTATTCTTTGCTAGATTAGAGGTCCTGAAAAATGTGAGGTGTAGGGAGAAAGCCATAGAACTTTAAATTTACATACCTTAGGGACCTATTCTTTGGTCTCTTAAAAAAAAAAAAAAAAAAAAAGAGGGTAATAGATAAAACTATTCTTTTCTTCCCAGCAATCTCTGCTGGGGAGAGAAAGTTCATCACCTTTTGCGTGCCATCCTTCTTCTATAAGTTTGAACCTATAAAGTAGCTTTGATTTTTTACCCTCTTTCTTCCTCTACATTCAAATTTCCTGCCAAGTCATGCAAAATCTAGCTCTATGATTTTTTTTTGCATCTGTCCCCTCTTTTTAATTCCTACCACTAGCACTCCCATTCAGGATTTCAGGGTTTCTTCTAAAACGACTATAAAAGTCTGCTAACTAGTATTCTAACTAGTATTCTTACCTCCTAACTGCTCTTTGCAAAGTTTTGCCAGATTCATTTTCCTATAAAGAAAAACTCGCAGTATCCCTCCCCTACCCAGGAATATACATCGGTTCCCCACCGTCTGCTGGATTTACTACAGGCGTTGCAATCTGGCATTTGGAACTCTTGATAACATCTCATTCACTACCATAAATATCCACATAAAAGGATACCAAGCAGCCAAATCCACTGACTTAGCTCTTGAATTACTGTACTTGACCCAACTGTATTGCACTCTATTCTTCTGACCTCCTTCACTACCAGTCTGTTGGTTTATGTCTCCCTAACCCCTCCATTTAGCATCATGATTCTGGCATTGGTTGTTTCCTGGCCTGTGGGCCATCTACCCCATGTCTGTGGTTCTGTAGGTCGTCTTCTCAGGAGCACCCCTAGGACTTCCCTTTGGTACCTGCCTTCTCAGAAAGCTCCCAATCAGCCAACTCCGGCTTTGCAAGCAACTCTTGCTACAAGCAAACCTTTCTATGTAATGAACTGTGACTCCCCTAGGCCTCAGCTAAATTGGAAAATAGGCCAATGCTCACACGCATCCCCTGGCTTTGCTCACACCATTCCATTCACCTGAGACACATTCTTTCTTACCTCTGTTAGTGGAAATGCAACTCATCTTCTAAGGCCCACCTCAAATTCTACATTCTCCAAGAACTTTTGCCTGAAGACTCCAAATGGAATGTGGGGGTTCAGATCTTCTCTCTGAACCCTGATGGGATCTGATTTGTGCCTCTTCCACCACTACCATATTATGAACAGGCCATCGTTATTTCTGTATATGCCTTAGCCACCTAGACTCCATGGACTAGCTAACCACAAGGACTAGGTTTCATAACCCTGGTCTCTTCTAACCATCCACCTTGCATTGGTCCCCACACAGCAGGCACTGAAAAACACAGGCTGTGTCAAATGTCTCCTGACTCTGATTTTGAGAATTCTGAATACCATGTGGTCCACATTCTGAATTATAGTGTTCTTGACATATACCAAATCATTAGGATAAATCTAAAAAAAAGACTGGGTGAAGTACATTTTCCATTTTATTTATGAAAAGGAGAAAAAGAGGCGATAGTTACATAGATTTAGAACAACGTTCTGTTCAGAGGTGGGCACTACGATAGCACAGCAGCTCAAACTCCAGCCCTGAAGTCAGACCACCTGGAATTGCCTAGAATCCCGACTATAACACTCACTAGTTCTGAGACCATGGGCGAGTTAGCAAACCTCCCTAAATCTCAACTTTCTTAGCAGTAAAACTGCTATCAGGATTAAAATAGATAATTCATGTAACATATCATGCCTGACACAGAGTAGAGCTTAACAAATGTTCACTGTTATTGATACTGTTGCTATTAGGAGCATTGGGGCTAAGTAAAATGAACTCTTCTTGAATAGAAAAACTGGGAACTAAGGCCTCATGGTCAAGATTTTTATCCAAACCTCAAGGAGATTCTAAATAGTAGATATAAGCCAGGGGTTACTTCTCTGGCTAAATGTCCTCCCAGGCCAGGAACTAGGCCAGGGTAGTGCACCTGCATGACTGTGCTCACCCGGCATGAAGCCTTTGCCCTTGGGGGCTAACTGGAGGGTAGAGCACTAGAAGACAAGCCCTTCTGGTCATGTACACACAGCCTTCTCACATAAAATCCCACACATTGCATGTCGGGCCTGCACAGCTGTGCCCATCACAGCCACAGGAGGAGGGACTCACGAGAAAGAATGTGGACTTAGCGTGGGCGAGCTTAAGCTCGGCTCTGGGCTCTGCTGAGTGTGACTCATGGCTCAGTTCTACTTACTATGTGACTTACTATGTGACTTAACTTCTCTGGGTCTCAGTTTCACATCTGCAAAGTGGGGCAAAAATAACAATAGCAAGAGCTGTTTTCACTAAATCACGGGGTCATTCTATCTATCCATTGAGATATTTGTGAAAGTGCTTTGTAAACCTTATGGCATTACACACCTCCAGCACTAATTGGAAAGCAAATAGATTTCTAAATTTTTAGCTATCGATTCATAGTGTTGTAATGCAAAACAGATTTAAATAATTGGGAAAATACAGAATGAATACATTAAAAATTCTGTAGTAAAAACGAATAATTCATGCCCTTCCATCTAATTGGTCCTGAAAAGCCAACTTGTTCCCACTGTGTTTTCTTCGAGTGAGACCTACTCATAATTGCCAGTGGACAGAGAATCCTCCATGTGTGTCTGTGACTCTGCACAACACACGCAGTGGTGGGGGCACTTACCGAGCCCTTTCATGGCCTTTCTCAGGGTCTGGGCATCTTCGGCAGCATTGAATCCTGAAGCAGCTTTGATGGTACCTCCTTTGGCCGCCTGAACACAAAGAGATTACTGAGAAGCAGCATCTTACTGACACGGAGGCATCTCATTGAGCAAACATTTGCTGAGCACCTGCCATGGGCCAGACAATATTCTAGGTGTTGGGGATACAGCAGGGACAATGATAGATGAGGTCCTTGCTCCCATGAAGCCGTTCATTGTAGTTTAAGGGGGAGAGAAGGGAGGGGCAGACAGTAAACAAGCCAATGAACAAATTTTTCACCAAGTGCTGGATGGTGAGAAGTGCTATGGGGCAGAAAGAACGGTCCTGGAGGGGATGCTCTTGAGGAATAACATTTAGGCTGAGATCTGAATGACATGAAGCAGCTGACCAAGGAAAGATCGGGGGGAAAAGATTACAGGCAGAGGAAACAGCTAAGGCAAAGGCCCTGAGGCTGGAACTAGCTTTTACCGGAGCAGCAGGACAGAGGCCAGTGTGGCTCAAGTTGGTGCACAAAGAAGACAACAGTAACGACAACCTATGCAGTAATCTTGTGCCTTCCACGAAAAGGGGGAAAAAATATCAAACCTGAATCTAATCAAGCTTCTAGAGCCAAATACTAACTTATAGTATATAGGAGAGGGATGAAAATGTTGACCCGCACCACAGGGTTGGAAACAAATAAATTGCAAGGGGAATTAGAAAAGAGAGATGGAGAGGAACTATAGCTAAGAAAAGGTTAAAGAGGCATATCAATAATCATAATGGGTGAACCTTATCTGGATCCTGAATCAAACAAACAGTAAAAAACATATGACATTTATGAGACCATGAGAAATTTGAACACTGACTTGATACCGATGACATTACAGAATCAGTGCTAACATTTTTAGGCATGGTAATGGTCTTGTGGTTCTGTTTTTTAAAGCATTTTTGTATTATACATACTGAAATAGTTTACAGATGAGATGATGAGATGTTTGGAAATTACTCCAAAATAATACAGGTTGGGGGAAATAAATGAAAATAAAGAAGAAACAAGACTGACCAAGAGTGAATAATTATTAATAGGTATAAAGGCACTCTTTTTAATGTTTGGTCTACTTTTGCATGTGTTTAAGCTTTTGCGTAATAATTTTTTTAAAAAAAGAAAGAAAAAAAGAAGAAAAGAGGGAGGAAGGAAAGGGGGAGAGAGAGAGAGGAAGGAAGGAAGGAAGGAAGGAAGGAAGGAAGGAAGGAAGGAAGGAAGGAAGGAAGGAAGGAAGGAAGAGAGATACAGAGGGAAGGAGAGAGGGAGAGAGGGAGGGAGAGGGAGGGAGGGAGGGAGGAAGAAAGGAAAGAAAGGAAGAAAAGAAGGAAGAATGAATCAGAGAAGTGGGCTGGGGCCAGAACAAGGCAGCCTTCACAAGCCAGATAAGGAGTTCATATTTTATTCTAAGTTCAGTGGGAAGCCACTGACAGGATTTAAACAAGGGAATGGAGGAAATGATCTGATTTACATGTTAAAAAGACCACTCAGGCTGCTGTAGGGAGATGCAGACACTACTTGAGAATCTGGGCCAAGATCCAGGGATATGATGTAAAACAAAGATGAAATAGAAAAGATGGAAAGAGACAGACTCAGCACATGTTTTGGAGCAAAGGCGACAGAACTTGCTGATGGACTGATGTGGGAGTTGAGGAAAGAAAAGAATCAAGTGAAACTCTAAATTGTTTCCTCTGAGCAGCTGAGCAGAGAGTGGTATCATTTACCCAGCTGGGGAAAACTGGAGGAAGACAACCAGATTTGGGGTGGCAGTCGAGAGTAGGATTTAGAAATTCTATTTTTAAAACATTACATTTGCAATATCCATTAAACTTCCCAGTACAGTTGCCAAAAGGACAGTTGGTTATACAATATAAGTAGAGGTCAAGTCTAGAGTAATATTTTAGGACACATCAGCATTTGGATGGTATTGGATGAGATGACGTAGGGAGAAAGTAAAGACAAAGAAGAGGGTCCTATGACAGCCTGGGCCTCTCCGGCAGCATAGGTCCAGCAGAGAAAGGAGAACTCAGAAAGGATGGCCAAGAAGGATTGGTCCTTGAGGCAAAAGGAAAACCTGGACAGTATGTTGTCCAGAGGCTGAGGAAGAAGGGAGTGGTCAGTACCTGCTGAGGTAGGTTTAAGAGGAGGACAAAGAAATGACGGTCAGATTTGGCAACAGGAAGGTTCCTGGTGACCCTGACAAGAACTTTTCCACTGGACTGGAGGAGAGCGAAGCCTAAGTGGGCAGAGGGGAGAATGGGAAACCTCATGAGGAGGAGACAGCAACTCCAGACAACAGAGATGATGATTAGTGTCACTGGAAATGATCACCATGCCTTAAAGACAGACTCTGTTGTCTCCAGGTATTAAAAAGTTAGTAAAACTGACCCCCTACAAATAAAGATTAAAAATTAAAGATATCAACAAGCAAAACATGGGTTAGTGACCAACAGGAACCATCTAGTTGGATTATGACTTAGAGATCACTGTACTAATTAAGATCCATGTGCCCTGAATATTACAAATGTATTTACTGATTCATTAACATTACTTGTGTAAATCAGCACAGAGAAATATACATGTAACTCAATATAAAAAATAAATAGATGGAGAAATTTAAGAAAATTACAGTAAAGCTAGGAGGGTGGGAAGAAAACCAAAATCCAGACCTTAAAAGCCTATGTAATTATGAGAGGCAAGCCACAGAAGCCAAAGCAAGAGGAATTTTAATCAATAATGAGACTTACTGTATCTATAAGAAGAGATCGATCTCCCCCAAATTGCCCTGTGTTTCTTTGTACTGAGTTTAGAGAGAGGCAATGGGCATTAGCAGAGCTCTTCTGGGCTTCCTGATTTAGCAGCAGAGGGTAGAATCGAACTACTTCGGTTTTTAATACACAGTATCTTCTCTGTTCACAGACACTAAGCATTATGATAACCCTTTAGCAACCTGTGTTGTAATATTCTGAACTGTTTTCTTGTTTTAAAAAGTACCCCAATTAGTCGTAGCCAGCGCTTTCTCCTTTCCCTTAATTTGTCAGGCACTGCCATTACCGTGTGCATTTTGACTGGCTAAGGCTGCACATGGGGAAGGATCTAAGTGATATTCACCCAGATGTCAATGGCATTCAGACCTATCTGGACACCCTCCTCTGTTCACAGTTGGTGCTGTGTGCTTTTAAGATGCTATGAGCTCAAAAGCTGAGGGTAAGAAGAGACAACCAAGGCTACCTGGGGCTGAGGTCACGTCAGCAGGTCTGTTTCTCCTGACCGTTTGGATAATGCCCCTTTTAGCATCTACAAGTGGTAGGATGTTATGGTGATGAGAGGGAATAGAACAGGGACATCACTATGAATTATTACAAAGGGAGAAGGATTTTAACTTACATAAGATGTAACAGAAATGTACCCTATAGCCTTGTGCCCATGATTCCAGTAAAATGTAATATTCACATGGTCAGCTCTGTCTCTTCTACATCACCTGGTGGGCAATGAACACTATAAAGAGAATCCCAGTATTTTGGGGGAAATTTGTGGGTCTTCAGGAAGGAGACATGGTGGGCTATAGTGAGAGGTAAGAAGCTTAGTAGGAAGGAGCACAGAAATTGGAGTGGGATAGACTCGACTTTGAATCTTGGCTTCAACTCTTTTTCTAGCTGTATGGTCTAGGGGAAATTTAATTTTTCTCACCTGTATATCAAGAATAATGGTATCAACCCACAGAACCGTTGTAATAATGACTTAGCACAGAACAAATAGTAAATTCTAAAACAAAAACTCAAACTCCGTGGCTACCATCATCATCATCATTAAATATGACTTCAACAACATCTCTGCAATAAGCATAATTGTGAGATTCTTACATTTATTTCTGTAAGCCTATGGGGTAATGCCAAAGCAAAATCCAGACTAGAGCATTTGTATAAGATGGCAAAAACCATGTAGAATAGTTCTAAAGCTCTCCGATGATTTAATTTGCTCCAGGGATGTAATATGGGACAATTAAAGGTATGGAGACTTTTTATACCTAAAGGCAGCTCTTTAGCAAGTCAGACTTGAGCTCTACGAGCTAGTCCACCTTGGCCTGGACCCACTCTGGCCCACATTAAGCTCATCCAAAGGTCTCAGACACCAGAGAGCGTGGGCCTCATTTACAGAAAGACCAGGCTTCACTCTTACACGTGGTGAGCATCCAGGACTTAGTCATCACCCTCATGCGCCTGACAGAGGAAAGTAAAAATCTATGAGATTAACTTCCATGGGCACTGTTATGGGTTGAATTGTATACCGCCCCCTACCTCCGCCTCAGGGGGGTGGGGGTGGAAAGATATGTTGAAGTCCTAAGCCCTAGTTCCTCAGAATATGATCTTATTTGGAAATATGGTCATTGTAGATGTAATTAATTAAGTTAAAATGAGGTCATACCACAGTACGTTGAGTCCTTAATACAATATGACTGGTGCCTTATAAGAAAATATTATGTGAGGACAGAGAAACACAGGGAGGATACCACATGACAATGAAGGTAGAGATGGGAGTTAGGCAGCTGCAAGCCAAGGAACATCTAAGATTGCCAGCAAACCACTAGAAGCCAGAAAGAGGCAGCAGTGTCCTACAGGTTTCAGAGGGACTGTGGCTGTGCCAGCCAATCTTTGTTACATGTTTCTAGCCTCCTGAACTGTGAGACAAATTTCTATTATTTTAAGTCACCCAATTAGTGGTACATCACTTTGGCAGCCCTAAGAAATTAATACGGGCATTTCATTTCTTTTCTTCTAATATTACTGGTAGTAATAAGCAAGTTGGAGATTTTCTGTCAAAATTCCAACATGGACTAAGTCAGCCCTTGGCCCCACCATGAGACAGCTTTCTTAGTCACATGTTTCAACAGTTCTTTTGGAACTCAAATATTGAAAAAAAAATTGGGTGCTATTCAAACACTGCATTCAACTTTAAAGCAAACTGCATTGTTGAGGGACATTATTATAGGATTAAAATTAATATCTAACAAGATGAATCGATAGAGGGATGTGCAATCGTAGTTCAGCTTATCAGTTGGCATTCTTAGTGACTCTTTTTTCCAGGAAAAAAATAAGCTCGGGAAATTTGTTCTTGTTAGCGCTAAAGTATCCGTATTGATTAAATTCCAGGGTATAATGTACCATTATCCATTCTGGGCAGGCAGGGGAGTCCACCCCAGGAAGGCTTCTGGTGGCAGCAGACAAAGGAAACAGAGAGGATGTGGGAAAAAATGACAAAAATGAACAGCTAGAAATAGGTGTTATATCACAATCAATGAAATATTATTCAGTTATTATGAAAGTAATGAAAATGATAAAGGTCAAAAAGATAGGAATACGATGTAATGGAACACTAATCAGCAAAAAAAAAAGAATAGAGGAACAAACTGCTGATACTTACAGCAACATGGATAGTCTGTAAAAAATATAATGCTCAGTGATAGAAGTCAGACACAAAAGAGTACTTGCTCTACGATTCCATTTATAGGGTGTTCTAGAACAGGCAAAACAATCACTATGGAAACAGCAATCAGAACAGTGGCTGCATTTCTGGGGTGGAGTAAGGAGCATTTCTGGAAGGCGCGGGAAGGAACTTTCTAGAGTGATGAAATGTTCTATCTTGATAGAATAGTAGGTACATATATTTGTCAAAACTTCTCTACCAATAACCTTAAGTGTCGTGCATTTCACTGGATGTAAATTAAACCTCTATAAAAAAAATTTTAAATACTTGAAAACAATAGCTTTTAAAACATGTTTTCTCTTTAGAATGAATCATGTAGACATTGTAGAGATCCACAATTTTTTTTCAAATTTAAGAAGAAAATTAAAACATCGACACTTCTACCATCTAGAGCAAATAATTTTAACAAGCTACGAAGTGTAATATAAACATGTTAGCAAAGCAAAGAATAGAGTAAATACATACTTAACTGCCATTTATGCTCTTATTACTTCTGTTTAAAAACTATTATATATGTAAGGTCTAAAATAAAATGATGGAAAGTAATTTGGAATTACAATATTGTGACTATTTTGTGTTTTTTCCTTTCCTTTAAAAATGTCCTTTATCTGTCCAATTAGTTAACAGTCATGATGGGAAAGATGAGAACAACTGAGGCAATATTCCTTGAGTGGAAAGCACATTAAATGGTCACTTGTTTACAATCATCACATGTAGGAAGGCTATGAGCTTGTTGAGGACAGGAAGAGTGTCCCATTAATTCTGAGTCCCCAGAACCAAGTACCACATCTGGCACAAAGTAGGGGCACTGTAAACATTTCTGAATAAATGTTCTTCTTGTCCAGGGACACTCAATTAACAAGAAATGGATTTTAAATTAAAGCGTAAGAGATTTGGGGCAGATGTGAGTACGCCTTTGACTGGTAGGGATGATGAAGAAAATTCTAGAATGTCTAACGTAACAAAAAAAATCTAAGAGTACATTATATTTGTTCAGGATAGTTTACACATCTATCTTCCTAATGGAAGGCTTCTAGAACTGGCAGGATCTCTAGTTGCTCTCCAGGTATAAGATTCTACTTCTATTATTTCCTCCCAGAAGAGCAGGGATCAGAATCATCTGCCTATTCAGACACCTTATTTGGGTGGGAGAAGGAGAGCAGATGGCCAGCCTCAGGTAGAGCCATGTTTGCAACTAAGAGGCTCAACTTCCACCTCAGCACTAAACTTTATGAGACTCTCAAAGGGATCTGATTTCTTGCCTTCTCAAGGATCAGATAACAGAGCTCTGAGGAGTCAGGTCACCAGGGAAAGCAGAAGGCAGATGACGAGTTCCTGTGGCTAGATACGCACTTCTTGATGAGTCTGCAACAATGAACATGTAGTGCTTCTGGAGAGAAAAAATTGCAACTTGTTTCTGTATCTGAGGATGTTAGAAGCATTCAAAGGATTCTCTTTGAATTAATTTTTAGGGTCAAATTACTCACCACCCTGAAAGAAATTTAAATGGTGCTTAAAAAAAGAAACTGCCTTATCATTTCCTCCTCCCTCCCCTCTGCTGAGTAAACAGTCCCTGAGTGGTATATCCTGTACCTGTCTGTGGTGGCACCAGGTAGGGAGAGGCACTCGCACTTACCATGACTGTGACACTGCGTCAAGATCAGAGTTCAGTCACACAAGCAGAAGTTCTGTGATAAAAGCAGAGAGGAAATGACTGTGATCAGGGAAGTGTCATTAAAATCATTAATCTGGAACACTTACAGTTTGTATGAAGTTAAACCACAGGGAACTAACACCTAATTTAATCAAAAGGCCATTTATTGATTAGCCAAAGGTACAAGGGCCAGGCTAATAATTAAAGAGCAACTGTTTGAACAGGCAAGCTTACTACACCAGCAAAATACTTTCAAAAATACATCCAATCACCAAATGTTCATAAAGCACCTCCACAACTGAGGCACTGTTCTAGACGATAGAGATAATATGGTGACTAAGACAAAGGATGTGCCTTCGAGGAGCTTACGGTCTGCCCAGAGAGATAGACAACAAAAAAACAAAAAAGTAAATAAGATAATTTCAAATACCAGTAAGATGGAAATACAACAAGATCATGGTATAGAAAAGGATGAGCACACTACAGCCCATGGGCCAAATGCCGTTCCTGTACAGTCTGCAAGGCGATAATGGTTTTTATATTTTCAACGATTGACAAAAAAAAAATCAGAGCAATATTTCATGATATGTAAAAATTATATGAAATTCAAACTTCAGTGTTCATAGACTTATTGGAGCAGTCACACTCACTTGTTTGCATGTCGTCTATGGTGGTTTTCATATTGTAACAGCAGAACTGAACAGTCGTGACAGAGACTGTGTGGTTCAGAAAACTGAAAATGTTTAATATCTGGCCCTTCACAGAAAACGTTTGCTGAACCCTGGGTGGGAGGATGATGTGATCGGGTTACTGGAAAGGAGCCGGCCTGGATGGGGCAATCAGGAAAGTCATCTCCAAGAAGATGACATCTGAGCTAAGACCTGAATGAGAAGGGTCTAGTCATTCAAAGTTCTGGAGGGGAACTGTTTCAGGCAGAGGGTGCAGTTAGTGCAAAGGCCCTTAGGCAGGAATAAACTTACTGTGTTTGAGGGATGGACTAAGGCATCAAGAACAAGGGCCGGAGTGGCATGAGCTGGGGATGGAGTAGGGCCAGGACCGTCTGTGGGGGCAGGAATGGGCGTCTCTTTCTCATTTGCCCAGAACGTGCTAGGGTAAGCCATTAGCAGCGCTTTTTGAGACTTTCATGGGCCTCAGCCACTCTGTTGTCTGGAGGCCCTGTTTCACATCTTATAAATTATCAAAATGTTCCCATATCCATCATTAACATGTGAGTTGGACTGAATTGCTGCTGATTGGTTGACAACCTGGCAGACACAGCTTTTAGGAACAAGGGCCCTCCCTTTGCTTCCATCTAGTTATGGACTAAATGACAATGAGTGAGGAGGCAGGGAAGGGCGACACCTCCCACAAAAGCCAGCCTCGAACACAAACACTTCCAGTGCTTTTGACCACTACAAGAAGTGGAAAGGCTGCTTGAGCAAAGCCTTCTGGAAATACTGAGAGTTATTATTCAATGGGCTCGAAATATTTTGCTAAAGGAAAATATGTATCATACTTGAAAACAGGGTGCTTTTAGTCAGACAATTTATTTTGAAACTTGGAGAGCACACAGCATAAACCCATTTATATAGAGACAGCTGTAGTATATTTATTATTTACTAGTACCGAACAAGTTTCTAAATAGATTAATGAATGCAGAAAATGGCACTCTATGATTCTTTCATTAGATATGAGATAATCCATGTAAAATTAATCCACTCAAATGCTTACTAGCACAATGTCTGGCACCCAGTAAGGTCTCAGTAACTTTTGGCAAGGATTGGGGAGGAGCAGAATTGTTGGAGGCCTCTTCTTAACTGCACAAAATGATCAGCCCCCAAAGGCTGAAAGGCCCTTCTCCTTGAAGCTCCCTGCAGGTCTTCTCACACTTCCCACCACTCTGCAGAGCCAAAGATTCTCTATGGGAATTCTCAGAAGGCCAACCTACAACTCCACAAACTGAACAACTGTGAACAGTTGCCCAGTGGCTCAGACTTTGTTTAGAGTTTGAAAAGCTCCTTTACTGCTCATGGGTGGGGCAAAATAATTAGCAACTGTGGCTCAGCTTTGACACCTGTAAAATTCAAATACACCAGGATTGGGTGTGGTTCAACTGACCCTAAAAGTATCAGGACTCTTCAAGATGAAAAGATGAAGGCTGAAGGGACCACATGTTTGCAGATGTCAAAAAAACCCTAAGGGTTAAGCTATATGTGGGAAACTGCAACTTCTTTATAAGAGCAGCACTCGACAAGAAGGGCTCATGGTAGGACTCCTGAAGATTTTAAGACACAGCTTTAGAGCAACTGAAAGAAAGCTGGAAACTAAACATAAGAGATCTATTCCAAGAGCAGTTGTGTAAGGGAGTAAGTTGTAAATAAGTTCAACCTATTTCAAGTAAGATTACAAAAATCTGCAGAAATAATTTATGATGAATTCATAAAGAAAAATTAGGTATGTTGAGAATACATCCACAGTTTTCCCGTTGAATGTCTAGAAGGGTAATTATTACACCATCCCACAAATTTCCCTATTGTATCACTGCCAGAAATTGACAAGCCAGGTGCTGACTCAAGTATAAAGTTTCTTACATCCTTATGGCAGGCTGCAGGTACGTGGAACAAGGGCCTCTCAGTTGAAGTACTATTTCAGTAGGCTATAGGCATGGAGGCAGCTGTGTGGCACATTCTTCCCACACCCCCAGAATTTGGAAAGCAGGCAAATTAGATTGTTCCCTGAGCATTAGACTAGGAAGATCAGCAAATAACCATCAAAACAAAGATACACAAACTCACTTCAAAGAGAAGGAATGGCTCCTGAGCCAAAGCCAACTTGCTGAAAAGTATTAGCCCATTTAAAGAAAAACTAGGTCCACTGGCAAAGCAAGCTCCACAAAAAAATCCTTGGAGAGGCTTACTCCGAAGTATTAGGATATCAAAGCTATCCTAAGGAA